GCTGGCACAGACCACGCCCCTGCCATACCAGACCCCTGCCTCTCTCTCTGGGCTGTGATTGGCTCATGGTCAGTGGTGGGGCTAGTCTCCTGGAAACAGCCAAACAACATCTCTAGAAACATCTTTTAGTCTTTAATTCAACCAGGGAAGATCTCACTGAAACTCCGGACATCTGGTGAAGACAGCAGCATCACCAGCACAGAACACAATCACACACTCAGACTCGCTTACAAAGCTCCTCTCCCCCTCACTTCAGCCTAGAGGGTCTAGTGAGAATCAGAACAAACTGACATCCTCAACCATTCCTTGGCCCTCCCACCTCATCCTGCCTCCTGACACCACGACATGAACCATGGGTGCCTGGCTGGGACAAACTGCACAAAATGCAGCCTCCGGTCTGAAGCTAGCAGGACCCTGGTCCAGCTCCAGGCTGAACCCGGCCCCCAGCACACCCAGTCAGGTTGGAGCTGCTCAGGGGAGCCACAAGCATGCAAGCATACAGACTCCGGTTGTTTTAATGGAGGTGTGTTCACACTGCATTAGAGACAATGTTGATGGAAACTCCCACAGCTTAATGCACAGAGGAAATGGAGGAGCTGGACAAACACAGTGTGTGGTGGTCAAACAGCTGCAGAATAGGATTCAGCTGTAAGATTTTAAAGAGGACACTTTGATGGAAGTCCCTGGTCCCTGTAGTAAAAGTCCTTTTTCCTGGTCCTGTCATAGGTGATGTCAGTGAGACACTTCATACAGAAATGCCAGTTGGTTCAGATGTGTACACGTACAATAAAGACGGGCCAACAGAGAAGAGACTATTTGTACACCTACTGCAGAACCCAGCAGGAAACAGTTAACCAGCATCATCACTTCCTGAGTCCTACACACTGACAAGATAAAGCAGGAGTGAGAAAACACCTGTGTTTTCAGCTTGAAGACAGTAGCCAGCTGACCTCTGACCCTGTTTCCTGTCAAACACAGGAAGTGCAGGTCAGAAATGAAGCTACTCATCTTCTTCTTTCAGCTGTTCCCGTTAGGGGTCGCCACAGCAAATCATCTGTTTCAACCTAACTCTATCCTCGGCATACCCTACTCTCACCCCAATTAACTTCATGTCCTCTTTAAAATGAAGCATACTCAAATTTAGAGGACTATAAGTGCTAGCTGCAGAAGCTAACAGGCTAACAACACCCTGTGTTGTGTGTTATGCTGCGTCTGAGTGAGCAGACCATGCAGATAAATTAACAACACTCTCAGGTTAGTTCCCCTTCTACACTGACCTGTCAAGATTAACCCACAAAATCTTCTTTGATTGTCGATACATTATGTTTCCAGTCAAATCTAATGTCGAAGGATAAAAAAGTCCAAGGTGATGTCCTCACACCTTGTTTTGTGGCAGTACAAACGCACAGAGATTCACTTTACTGTGAACACGAAGAAAAGAGCAGTTGTCTCCTAACTAGAAGGTTGAAGGTTCGAATCTCGGTGCCGGCAGTCCATGTGTCGAAGTGTCCTTGGGCAAGACACTGAACCCCCCTGTTGCCCCTGATGGTTAGAGCCATCGGTGTGCGGTGGCGCCACAGATGGCTGCCATCGCTTCTGTACCGGAAAAAAATTCCTTGTGTGTAACATACTTGGCCAATAAAGGTGATTATCCTTAACAACTGAACCTAACTCTGAGAAGCTGCAGACAGACACTGGCTGATATTGTTCTTTCATAAACGACTTAAATGATTCATCAGTTATCCATCCAGAGGATCACCAGCTCCCTCACCACACGTGTTCAAACTCGCTGCACCTCACCTACACTGTTGATGCAGGACTTGTATTTTTTCAGTGTGGTACTAGTACATTTACTGGAATAAAGGAGATGAATATTTTCTCCATCCCTGCACCTCATGCCAGACTGACCCTGTGTCACAGCGCCACCTGCTGACAGACCTCTAACACAAACGGGCAGGAGCTGATTCAGTACCTTCTGCTGGGGATTATTCTCAGAAAATATACAGCTGCCACCATTAAATCAGGCGTTTACCAGATAATCTTTACAAAATGAATCTGCAGCTGTTTTGATAACCAGTAATTGTTTTAGTAATTTGAATGCCAAAAAAGGTCGTTGAGACGTGAGGATTTGATGTTTTTCTAAGTTTTGTGTCACAGTTTGTGTCCAGTGCAGCCAGGCTCATCGGTCCATTCCATCAGCGATTAATCAGGGTTGATAACAAGCTGGTTTGTGTGTTAGGGCTGTTTGTGTGAGGCTACAGTGTGACAGCTGTTAGAATAAAGCCCAGGGGGCTTCTCAGAGCCCAGAGAATGTCTCATCACATAAAGTCCAGAACCCAAAGGCTTTTAAATTCTGATGGAAAAACAGAACAAAGCAGCGAAGCCTCATGTGAGACGCTCACACAAAGAACGTTTGGCATGATTTGCTGAGTAGCTTTGACTGTGGCAGCCTTTCAGCTGTACAAACAGTTGAGTGGTGCAGGTGTTTGTGGTCGGTCCCAGTAACTGCTGCTGGGCCAGTGTGGGTTGAGAGCACGTCAGTTATAAACCAAACCACATCGTCACAGACACAACTGACACAACAGACCCACTGGGTTCAGTCACTTTGTGTCCATGGCAAAGTGTCTGTGTTAAAAGAAGTTGGATTCACAGACAGACTGTGGCAGAGCAGGGCCCTGGGTACAGATGTGAGAGGCCCCCATCGCTCCTACAGGAGTGACACCGCCACACAGGAAAAAGACACAAAACAACCACAAACCATGCAGCCACAGTGTGGCCGTTTATGCCCCTTGATGTCACTCTGTGTCTGTAACCGTGTTTCTCTCTCTGTTCTGGTCCTGCTGATGGTTTGTTGCAGTTGTGTGTCTCTCCCTGGTTGTTGTACCTTTTCCTCATCTGTTTTGTCTCATTAGCATCTTTCTGTAGATATTTTGTCTCTCTGAGGTGGTTTTCCATCGTGGTGGTTCCTTGTAGCCGTGTTCTTCCCTTCCTTGTTTAGTGTCTCATTCTGTTTGCTTTGTGTCTGCCCTGGATGGGGTGAGGACAGGTCAGGACCAGGGGCCCCGCGGCCCCTCTAGGTCACCGTGTCTGTTCAGTAGTCCATCCATTAGTGGCCGTGTTAGCGCTTCCTGTCCTGTCACTGTAACATGTCGTCGTGTGTCGGTGAGCTCCAACAGACATGGTGAATGAGTTTCCCTCCACATTTCATGGGACTAAATGTAAATGGTTAATCAATATCAATCAATATGACAAAACTATTTTGGCCATATTGCCCTGATGTCACCAGCATGTCCAGAAAGTCAGGGGTGGAAGAAATACCTTGATGTTTTACTGAAGTAAAACTGGCAACACCACAGTGTAAAAATACTCATAAGAGTCCTGCATTTAGAATGTTACTAAAGTAAGAGTAAAACTGTATCAGCATCCAGATCTACTTGAAGTACCAGCAGTACCAGTACTCATCCTGCAGAACAGCCCATGTCCCAGTAATGTCTCTGATACTGGATCATAGTGACTGATGCGTTACTGTGTCCATCACTTTAATGCTGCAGCTGGTAAAGGAGGAGCTGATGGTAACTAGCTTATACTGTGAAGTACTTTACATCCTGCTGGGTAGCTGGTGGATTTCCCACCGGGATAAATAGAGTCTGATGATTCTTCTGGGTTTGGTTTGATTCATCTGGATCTGGAAAGGAAGTGAAGTTATCAGGTACATGTAGTGCAGTAAAAAGTACACGGTTTGTCTCTGACATGGAGTCACAGTATGAAGTAGCAGGACATGGGAGTACACAGGAGAAGTACAGATACCTCATAGCTGTACTTCACTGCAGTGGTTCAGTGAGCATAGTTGCTTTGTGTTTTGAATGAAACACTTGGCTGGTTTGCAGCAGCAGTTTCGTCTGCCAGTTCATGATGGAGTGTGTGTTGGTGTGTCTGATCTTCGTCTCACTCAGCGGTGAGTCTCTCTACTGATTACTGAAATTCTGACTGATGTGTGAAACTTTAATGTGGCTTTTTAAAAGCACTAGTGTCAACAGTCTGAGGAGCAGTTTGTAGGATGTTATGCTGAAAATCCCTTCAGATGGAATCTTCCTGTCTGTAGGATTAACATGTTTGCTCTGAAGAGCATGTCCTGTAAAATCCAATGCGGTTTAGTGCATATGCCTATTTAATTACACAGTTACACAGCAGGATATTATCTTATTCAGAATATTTGAGATGAACACGTGAGAATCAGATTTGATCTAGTGACAGGCCTGTAATCTGTCCTAAAATATTCTGAACATATAATTTAGATTAATCAAACATCTTTATGGCAAAAATGCATTTACAAAATATGAATGTAATTTAATTTTTATCCTTCACAGATTTACACAGCAGACATGCACTTTATATTAGAGCTGCATAATTATTTCCATGACCAATTGATCAGCTGATTATGTTCCTGATTAATCATTATGTCAGTAAAGTGTGGGGAGTGAAAAAGTCCACACTGCAGCACAGATCAGTCTGAACCTGTTGGACAGGTTGAAACAGAGCTGGGTCCTTTAACAACAGATCCTTCTGTAGTCAGAACCTGTAACGTTAACCTGTTTGAATGTGACACAGGTTCCCCACAGCAGAATGGTTTTACTGACTAGGGTTGCACAGACACTGTTGCAGCACTTTTCTCGGTGCAGGAACTCTTTCAGTGTTTTCTGGCACCGGTGAACTACATCTACACTCAGAGCAGAGGGGGTCTGACACGTTTCATACACTTTGCGTTGGTTGTGTTGACCCGTGTTTAATCAGGGAGCTACTGCTTGTCCTGCACATCAGCAGCGGAAGCCGTGCTCTGCTGACGTTAGTCAGAGCCTCAGAGAACTGTTTTCTATGTGCTGGAGTTTTTGGACACTATTTCATGTTTTGTGTAACGTGTGTTGAGGTTTCAGCGAGTTTGTAAACCTTCTGTTAAAACTTTTCAACTTTGTTGTTTGTAGGTTTTTGGGGGCAGTACCCTGCCGCCGCCCTGCCGGCCTCTACTGTCCAGGTGAGAGTGGGGGAGAACGCCACCCTGCACTGCCCCCTGCTGGACAACTCTACCTCCACCGCTCCCACCCTGAACGCCTCCTCCACTCTCAGTTGGTACAGGAAGGTGGCAGGACAGAGTCCTGAGCTGCTCCTCACCGTCAGATCTACAGACCCCTCCAGTGTGACGTATGGCTCCAGTGTCGGTCCTGGTAAAGCTTTGGCTGGAGCCAACGGCTCTCTGCTGCTGCACAACTCCCAGCACAGCGACACGGCAGTTTATTACTGTGGGATCAGTTGGGGAGACCAGCATAAGAAACCGGTGCCACAGCAAGTCACAGAGAAATGATGTGAATGCTGACAAGGTTTCTGTTGGACTTCACTTCAGTTTGAGTTATAGCTAGTCTCTGCTTTCTGTTTTTGCTCATGTTTGTCACCTAAGCTGCGTCCACGTCCCATCTGAGGTTTCCCAGACCTAGTGTGTCCACAGCAGTGTGAACAGACCAGACCAGATGTCCTCAGACCAGATCTGGGCCACCTGTGTATGTGCACCTTAGCCCGATTCCTCTCTGACCTCTGACTGTGCGAGCACCGTCAGAACAACAGAATGACCTGGTTGTTATTCTTGTGCACACGTGGCTCACATTTCAGTTACACCTGTGCATGTGGCAGTTTGAAGCTCAGAGGTGTTCACACCGGAGCCGGGTACGCGTCACTGACACACGCAGATTCAGAGGTGTTCACACCGGAGCCGGGTATGCGTCGCTGACATACGCAGACGGGAAGCAGCGACACAAAGGTCAGATCTGAGTGTTAAGGCCTGGGATGTGGACGCAGCCTCAGCCTATGTTTTGGTCTATAGGGAAGTCGGGGTTTGTCTGAATGATGCA